ATTAAATATCCGTGTTAGTGTCTTCTTAATTCTTCTTTCTCTTCTTGTGAGGCAAACGTTACAGAACCTCTCGCAGGACATTCACAATAACCGCCATCATCACCAGATTTTCCTGCAGGTCCAGGCTAAAAAATCAGGCTATGTCTACAAATTCTGATGAATCTGATAACTCATCTCTACCTGTCCATCTTCGCCCGGAAAACCTCCTGCGCCATCGATGCCTTCTCGTCCCAAATGTCCCTCCGGCCCCGCATCGCCAGGATCCCCATTTAATCCAGGTGCTCCTGCCAAACCAGGTTTTCCACGAAGGCCAGGTCTACCCCTAGGACCAGTGGGCCCTCTGCCGGTGAAGCAGTCTTTTCCTGGTGAGCCCTCCATGCCTCTCTGGAAACAAAGAAAAATAAACGTTATGTACTTTTCTCTGTACAACGTAAATCAACCCACTTACTTGCCCTTCCATTCCCTGCTCACCCTGATCGCCTTCTGGACCGCGTTCACCTGGTTCACCTTCAGATCCACATGGGCCAAGTTTACCCGCTTGTCCAGGACGTCCTGGTGGTCCAGGTGGACCCTCCACTCCCTGTTCTCCTTTCTCACCCGGAGGACAGACGATAAGAACTGCAATTATTCTAAATCATAATCGAACAGGAGATAGATTTCCTAAAAAAAAAAGAAACTTGCGCGACGGTCTCGGAGCTGGCGGCCCTGGCGGTCTGATCCCAGAAAGACCGATTGCACCAGGTTTGCCGTCGGGGCCAATGTCACCAGGTCTACCCGGCATTCCTGGTGGTCCTGGCGGACCTGGTGGACAATCGCTGCGAGGTAGACCACAATCTAAATGGAATAACTGGCCATATCTTTCAAATTCTTTTAAGCATACTCTGCTCCAAAATTCATATAGTAGATAGTATTAAGCATTTGCCTTGCTAACTTGTAATTAATTTCTAACAACGTGCTAAAAAACCACCATGTTGCTAAAACTTGACGAAAGTATCAATTTTTCATGTTCATACTGCAAACAACTAGTAACATAACATATATATTTCCATTTATTCCAGTCGATGAAGGCGAGGAAGAAATCAGAGCGCAAACATGTTTCCTTGAGGTGTCACCGCATGAGGGGAGCAGTTTTCGGTGCGATTCACATAGCAAATTTACCCAAAAAACTTTGTAGTTTATAAGATCGTTAAGTCTAGGTTGGAGAACTAACAGCGTTTTCACATACAGTTGAAATCAGTGAAAAAACACAAAGTACTAGCATGATTATATTTTGCTAATAAAAACCAAAAAAAAGACAAATGCAATAGACAAACCAGTATCTCCTAATACAACTGAAAACGCTGGATTCGTGCGGAGACAACTGGAAACGTTATAATCCGTCAATGAACCTACGAAATTCATAAAAGTGGATTATGCATACTATATATACACATTTGGACCAGTTCTCACAAATATTCCACTTTCTCAAGCAGACTCAAAGCTGTACGAGCCTGAAGTGCAA